GAGAGAGAGAGAGAGAGAGAGAGAGAGAGAGAGAGAGAGAGAGAGCTTTTGGAGACAACTTGACAACATGACATAATTTATCAAGGGTTGGGACCCAGACTATGGGCTGAGAGCAATATACGCGCCATACAATCATCGAATCATGGTAAACGCCATTTCTGAAACAGACATCGGCGGCCATTCTCTTAATTCCACCTATGTTCGTGTCTCCCACCTTTGCATTACCGTCTCAAGAAGACGAATTCGTTGTCTCTGCTTCTCCCCCCCCCCCCCCCCCCTCCCAACTTGTTTTATGAAAATGTCTGAGAAATCAGTTGTTTTTATTGCCCTATCCAGATACGTCATAGAATTTCTCTGCTTGCTCAACATGCTCTGTTGATCGTGTACATGATATATATAGCTTTGAAAAACGACAGTGTGAAATTGGGAAAATAAGCATCAAGAAGGACGCCTGTTTAGCCATTTAGCATTGCAAACTCTCTTTTATTAGTGTCTGGGTGTGTGTGCGTCTCCCTCCCTTAAACTTGCTTTCTCAAAATAAAATGTATCCCCTCCTCCCCATCCACTCCGTGTTTACCCCCCTCCCCTTTCCACTCCGTGTTACCTCCGTGCTCTTGCCACCCTATTATTATTTATTATTTTTTAGGCTGAATAGCAGTACTATATAATGTGGGTATTGATGCAAATCCAGTAATGACTCAACGTGACCTTGGTTTGACTCCACATATTGTCATATTGTCTTCCCGTAGAGTGGCGAAACGTCTTGTAAAGGGCATAGATTTTAATGATTGAAAGAAACAGAAAAATATAATTTGATTACGAATGTAACTGTAAAGCACACAGGGCATGGACAAAAAGATATAGAAGTACAAACAAGACTAAACATACAAGTGGCGATGGAAGGAACACTACACACCCTCAGAAAGCCCAGTGGGAACATCACAAGACAGTGTGGAGGAAACATTGAGGAGATGTGTGGAAAGGGACATGAGAGAGATGACTTGGAATGGGCTTGGAAGGACAGCCCAGGCAGAGATAAATGGAAAGAGCTTAAGTATGTGGCCTATACCCTGCCAGCTTTATGACACAGGGCATGGTGTAGACTGCATGTGTAGCATGGCGACAAGCGCTATATAAATGCAATTAGTAGGCTATTATTATTACCCGTGCATGCCAAATCATGTTTAGTCAACCTTTCTATATGAAACTAGCATGCTAGAAAAAGAAAGATAAAGATGAGGAGAAAAACATCATTAGTAAAGGGAGGAGTAGTAATATAATATTTAGTCTAATTAAAAAACAATCTCTTTCATTAATCATCAATTATAATGTATAGACAAGATCTCAGTCTAATACAGGATTCGGCTATATAGTATAACAAGGGGGTCATATCGGTCTCGGCAGTTTTGTTGAAGGAGGTTTTGTTACAGCCGGGGCCTGTACTACTGTTATGCTGCCACCACCGCTAATGTTGTTGTTGCTGCTGCTGTTGCTGTTGCTGTTGCTGCTGATGTGACGATGATGATGACGATGATGATGAAGATGATAATGATGATGATGATATCCCACAATATAACCTTAAGACCCTCTTTGCTAATGTTAGGTCCATTTTCCTGCTATCAAACAACGCCCATTTAGTTTTGCTCCCAGTTGCTCACGAGGAAGCCCAAG